ACTCAGTCCCATGCCCATCCAAAAAACCTGACTTTCTAATGTCACTCTGAAAGGAGTGTGCAAACGCAAACAATACCTCAAATATCAGCAATGATTCACTTCATTTTTGAATACCATCCTGAAAGAACAGAGTACAAAAGACTTTCTCACCCAAGACGGTCACAATCAATAAAGAGCTTGTGAATGGCAACTCATTCTACAGGCAGCAGCATTTTCACAAATGCAAATGAAAACAGGTTCATTGGGATTTTGTGTTTTTATTAAATCCTTCCAATTTTACCTCACTCGTTGCATTCAACAAGCTTCACAACAACTTAGGCTTTATATAGCACAGCAAAACAGTTGCCGCTTCGGCATGATCTAACAAAATAGGACACTGAGCCCCATGGCAGTAAAGCTTAGTCACAGAGGGAGGTTTTAAGGAGCAATAAAGGGAGGAGAGTGGTGCAGAAGACATTGAGAGGTTCTGTAAATTCCAGAGCTCAGAGCCTAAAGCAGCTGAAGGCATGGAGCATTGGCAAATGGAGATGAGCAAGAAGTTAGATTTGGAGGAGTGCAGCAATCTAGGGTTGCTGCATGGCCAGGAACAATCGGATATAGGATAGGGTGAGACCATGAAGGATCTTGCAATCAAACGATGAGGATTATAAAATCAAATCTCTGCCATTCACAGTACTGACAGCCCATTGACCGAACAGCTCCAAACAATGAAATAAGTGAAACAAAACCAGGCTGAAGTTAATCGGCCTCTATTCTTTGAGTTGCCCAGTTCATTGTGGAATTTGGGACTGCGCTACACCAAAACCGGATAACAGCCCAGTGATCGACTATCCTTGCACTATGAGGGATTGGTCAACCAACCGCTATCTACAAACATCCTAAGTGGCTGAAAATGAAGGCGATGTTGCCCAATGGACTGCTGGCAAGTGTGGCCATGCCCACTCAAATATTATGACAGCACTCCTCTCCATCTGTAATGCAGAATTTGAAAAATACAAAAAACCCAACAAAAATTGGACTTCACACCCAAACAATTGCAAACACTGCATCCCACTTAAACACCTTCACATTAAAAGAGTGAGAGGCCCAACACCTGACCTGTATCCATGCCCGATGGGCCTTGTTTGCATTTGTTAAATATAATATCGTGGGCGGCTAGGTGTCTGAGGGCAATGGGTTACAACAATGAGATCATACCATTGCACTGCGCCAGAATGATTGAAGAGGACAAACCAGGCATTGGCATGTGGCACATCACAAATATCTCCCTTGGTATAGCCCATCCTGTGTTCAGTAAACAGCTCAGAGTGACACAGCACTGGCTGAACATATTTAATTGATTGCTTACTGGGGCTGAGAAATAAAAGCAATGTTACGAAATGATCCATAAATATGCCAGATAACATCCTGTTCCAGTCCAACGGGACTAACAGTACTAAAGCAACACGAGGGAAATGATCTTCTTCTTTGGGATGGTGACAAATTACTTCAACTCTCAAGAAATTAACATCATTGCAAGAGTCATGTGAAGAATGGGAGGTGGGTTACCGTGGAGTAAGGAAAGAGCAGAAGTATGCCACTAATTGGGCTGGCGCCTCAGCGAGCTAAAACAAGCACAATGGGCCAAATAACCTCGTTCTGTGCCGTACACTCAAGATTTGTCACACTACACATTTTCTTTTTAAATGTTTCCTGGACTCAGAAGTAAACGATATCAAGATTTCAATAAAGATGCCTTGCTGCAGTTTCTTTTGTTTTTTTTTTAAAAATCAACAGTTGTCAAAAAGCAAAGGGCAGAACACTTGCAGTTGCTCCATTTAATATCCTGGAATCTCTCCATTAATCACCAGCTTTATACTGCTATACTTCAGCTTATTTAGAGTCATCAAGATGTACAGCGTAGAAACAGACCCTTTGGTCCAACTTGTCCATGTCAACCAGATATCCTAAATTAATTTAGTCCCATTTGCCAGCATTTGGCCCATATTCCTCTAAACCCTTCCTAGTCATATAACTAATCAGTTGCCATTGTACCAGCCTCCACCACCTCCTTCCATACACACACCACCTTCTGCGTGAAAAAGTTGCCCCTTAGGTCCCTTTTAAATCTTTTCCCTCTCACCTAAAACCTATGCCCTCTAGTTTTGGACTACACTACCCTGGGGGAAAAAGACCCTGGCTTTTCACCCCTATCCATGCTCCGAGGTTTTATAAACCTCTATTAGGTCACCCTTCAGCCTCCAACGCTCCAGGGCAGATAGCCCCGGCCTATTCAGCTTCTCCCTGTAGCTCAAACCCTCCAAGCCCAGCAACATTCTCCTAAATCTTTTCTGCAGCCTTTCAAGTTTAAAGAACATCTTTCCTCTAGCAGGGAGACTGGAATTGAACACATCCTCTTTTGGTTATTTTTGTTTGGTAGTAGTGTTACTGGCAAGGCTAACATTGGTTGCTGAGCCACCTTTGGGAATCAGTGCAATCCATCTGCTGTAGGTACATCCATAGGGCTGCTGGAAAGGGAGGTCCAGGATTTTGGCCTTAAAAGGATGCAAGTGAAGCAGACAGACTTTGTGACATTTGAACAGTTTCGTGATCACCATTAGAGGCTCTCTTTGAATTCCAGATAAATTATTTTAAGTGCTGCCATGGTGACATTTGAACCCTGGTCCCTGGAGCATCCGGGTTATGGGTCCAGTAACATTACCATTACGCTACCGGCCTCTCATATATTGAGAGGAATTATTTCATAGATAAGTTACTCAGAAAGCATGATTGCTCCCCACTTCATTAAGTTACCCATGCAAGGAACAGTACACCACTCCCAAGTGGAATAATGAGCAGCATGATTGATCTGTTGAGAAAGCAGCATAGCAGCAGTGCGCTGGACTAGTAATCCACAGGACCAGGCTCATACTCTGGAGTTGAGGGTTCCAGTCCCACCATGGCAGCTGTTAGAATTTAAGTTCAACTAATGAATAAATCTGCAAGATCATCCTTGCCTCAGTCATAGCAATAATGAAATTATCACTAACTGTTATTTTTTTAAAAAAACGACCCAATTCACCAATGCGCTTTAGGGAAGGAAATATGCTGTCTTTACCCAGTTTGGCCTACATATGACTCAGATCCACAATGTGGTTGACCCTTGACTGCCCTCCGATACGGCCTATCAAGTTATTCGATCATACGAAACTGCTACAAAACAGAACTCAGCATTTCAAGGCTGCAGCTCACCATCACCTTCTCAAGAGTCACATGGAACTGGCAGTGAATACATGCCTTGCCAGTGACACCCACATTCCTTGAAATAAAAAGAGAAAAGCTCCTGCGTATGTGTAATTTGGACAATACGAGGGAAAGTGAATTAGCAGTGACAAATCTAGAGGTTGTTTTTCGCGCCCCCCCGCTCCTCCCCCCCCCCCCCCCCCCCCCCAAAAGGGCAGCATTATGCCTTTTCAAGAAATGTGGACTGAAATGAGAAAGAACCATTTTTAAAACAGTGTCTTGAAGGGTGCTAGTTTTGAAAAGCTATATCCATTGCAAACAACTGTTTGAACAAGCAGCAATTGACGTTGAAGTTGCAGACAATTTGGAGCTGAGGGTCAAATACTGATAAAAGCTCTTAGCAACAAGTTGATTGGTCTACAGGCTAGTGACCCGTTATTGATGACAGAGACCTTTGTCTGCCAGCAACTGAGAGATTGGTTCTCATATATAGCGGAACTTCTTAGAGCAAGGAACAAGACAGCGAAAGAGAGAAGTGTTCAGTTCCTCCTCAGCCTGGGTGCGGTGTCTCTGCTCTCTGCAGTCAAAACTAACTTTAATCCTGAAGAAAACCTGGTTCTCTCTCCTGCGATAGTTGTTGTAAACTGTGGTGGTTTTTTTTGAAACTGGGAAGAGACCTTTTATAAGTGAACCAGGCACCTTGTGGCTCTTACAAACCAGTAGAAGCATCCAGAGAAAGACAACTGAAGCATCATGCTGGCCAGCAGTAGAATCCTAAGGATAATCTCAGCAACACGAATCTGGGAACAACGACTACTTCAACTATCTTTCCCGGCAGCCCATAATATATTTTTACCCTGTTTGTCGGACTGTCTGTAAGTGGGAGGGTATAAAGGGATTAGAGTTTGAATTAATAATGTTATACGCCACAAGTTTATTACTGTTTACCTGGAGATAAAGTCTAATTACTCTTAATAAACAGTAATATTTTAAACAGAAACCTAGCCCGTGATTTCTATGAAGCTGTGTTTAAAAGGCAGGTAAATTGGGCGCTTTTAATTTATAAAATCTTTAATTTTTGTGACAACTCAGAAAGCAGGGTTTGACTTCCAGCGCACCAGCCCAGTGAGGTGTAACAAGAGCAAGAACTGGCTTGATTTCCAAGCCAGGCATTCCTCAGGTGGTGTATAGAACAGCAAAGGAAAGACAGGATCAGCATATTTTCAATGTCAGTTTCAGATGTGTGCACGGATCTGGTCAACATACTTAGACTCATCCATGTATTTAATTTTAAACTTGGATATATTTTCACTTGTAACTTATATCTTAACTCTCCGATGCCCTGTAAAGATATTCCGGGTGGGACAGGAGGTTTGGCCATTCAGGATGATGTTCAGTATTTCACTAGAGTTACTGATTGGAGTCGCAGAATTAACTATAGCACAACCGACTTCAGTGCAGCTGGACCAAGGACGGGTGAAATCTTACAAAACAGGCAGATTTCCACTCTTAAATCATTGCCCTACAGGGGTCAAAGCATGCACAAGTTTCATGCTGTGAAAGGGTGGGATCAGACACAGATAGGGCACCACAGGGTTGATGAAACTGCTCACATTTGTTGTCAGCATTCACAAAGGCAGAATTTCCACTGGAATGACGTGACAGAGGTATAGGAATGTAGAACTACAGCCGAGCAAGTGCTGGGAGACCTGCCGAGGCTGAAAAATATACAGATCCCAATAAGGTGATACAACAGAGACTCAACTTTCCACTAAAGGCACTTTGCCTCTCAGTAATTCCCCCTCCTCCTGGGAGTGTCCAGTCAAAGCAACTTGATAGTAAGTGTCAGTATGGACCACTTACTCCAGCCCAGCAACACATCCATTAATCCAGCTGGGCTTGCTCAACAAGTCCGGAGAGGAAAAACCTTCGTTAATTTCCTTCTCTTTCCCCCAAAAATTGACTGATACCGAGGGAAGCTGTCTCACGTCAGTCATCTCTAAGAAGATAAAACAAATACCTTGATGTGGTCACACCTGGCACGCAAAGGAAAATCGGGTGGGGGGTGGAGGGGGTGAGGGCAGAGGAACAAAAAAAACCCAATTTACTGCAGTCTTGCAAAGCAGCTGACTGAAATGGTGCAGTTACTGAAATAGTTGGCGCACACTCACCTATGATGGCCTCTTTTACACTAGAGTCCACAGGAAGGATGTTCTTCTCCACCAATTCCATGGGGCCAGGCCGCTGGGCAATCTTCTCATTCAGGTCATCAGCTAGCCGTGCCCGCTTCAACTTCATCTGAGTGGCTTGGAGGGAGGGCTCTGCTGAAGTTTCTGCAGGACGTCAGTACGGACCCAGTCATTTCAACCTGTATTCAGTACTTTAACACATAGCTCAAACTGGGATCAAATGCAACGTTTCCACCCTTTGTAAAACAAAAATTCCCTATCTTCAGTCTCCAATCCCCTCCCTCATGACATTGTAATAGGCGAGACAACATGAAAGTGGCAAGCTTGCAGATTTTCACATGCATCCAAACACTTGACAATCAGGAAAACCATGGTTGAATATCTCTCTCCACCTTTAGTCCAACCAAAGGTTAGCATAGTGAACAACAGTGTCCGAACCATGCTCGGTCTGGGAGCTCACTAGGTGGGGAACAATGGATGCAGATTTGCATCTTAGGCATGCAGATGCTGGATGTCTGAAATGGAAACAGAAAATGCTGGAAATGTTCAGTAAGCCTAGTAATAAAGAGAAACCAAGTCAATATGAAACGCAAACTTTGTTTCTCTTTAGCCTAGGGCGGTGAATCTGTAGAACTCTGCCTCCACTGCCCAATGAGACAACAAGTCATTGAGTGCCTTAAAAACAGAGATAGATAGGCTCCTGTTTCTGGAATTATAGGAAGGAGGCAGGAGAATGGGATTGAGAAATCCATCATCCATGAACTAATGGCAGAACAGGCTCAATGGCTCGAATGACCTAATTCTGCTCCAAATCTTATGGTCACAGACACTGCTGGACTTGGTGAGCACTTGCAGCATTTTCTGTTGTTTTTCTCAATATCTCACCACTGTCAAAGTTTGGGAATCTCTTCTACAAAGAGTGTGGAGTATAACTGTGTGCAAGTTGCATGTGCCATTAATTCTCCTCAGTCTAGTTGTGGACCTAATAGTCTAATCTTGACTCATTGATCCAGAGATTTCTGAAGTGTAAATCAGATGTAATCAGCCAGAATTTTAACAACTTTGTTCTTTTGTTGCTTACTGCTGTGTCTTAAGATACACTTGCTTTTTTAATTAAAAATCATTCTTAGCAAAGCAACTATACTGCTCTATCCCTGTACATCAACTTGCCATCCCACTTGACATCCATAATTGTGATTTTGTTTCAACCAGACTTTGTACTATTGCAAATACAGCCTCATGTCATGACTGGAACGCAAATGAACATGACCTTTTTGGAATTAGATACTACAGTACAGTTTATATTTCAGCTTTTTAAAAAGAAAATGGATTATGTTGAATTGCAACTTAATCCTCTGTATATGATCATTATAAAAACAACAGCTGTTCATCATTCTAAATTAGTTCAGATAACAGGGGCACGTTCAATGTGAGGATCTTGTTTTACTCAAAGGATAACAGTTGTTGAGGAAGTTACCAGCAAAATCAACAAAAATCAAACACGCAAACAGGTTTGTAGATATTTTGATACATTTTTGCACGGAAAGGAAGCTGCAGCGGGTCAGAAAGAAACAGACTTGTTGACTTGAATAGCCTTTTCAAAAAACCTCCTTATTCTACACAGGCTGCTTCTGCCAGCAAGTTTGAGCACAGGGAACGCAGTCACACAACATGACTACTCAGCACAAGGTACTTCTCTCTTTTTTTAATCTTGCTTTTACATCCAAAACCACATAAGGGTTGCAGAATAGAACAGTTTGTCAGAGGTAAGTGTTTCTAATTCACTCGTAGTCCTGTTTGAAATGTTAAATACAGATATACAGTGCAATGTCAACCTTCCATGTCAGTGCGGTCCTGCTGGGCCATTTTCTCTTTGATATTTGCCAGCACACATCTCATCAGCAATGCAGAAGTGCATATCAACCACTGTCTGCCAACATCTGAGAGCAAGTGTTGAATGAGTTATCTCTTCACAACTGGCTGAAGTTCATCCTACTGGACAAAGTAGATTGTGCAAATTCCTTCTGTCTAAAATCTCTTTCAATTCAATTAATTTCAGCCGACCTCAGAGCAGCACTAACAAAAGGGCAGGACTGCAGTGAGCATGGCAGGGTATCGGGACAGGAATATAGGGCTCAATCATGCAGCTGTGGGGCATCTCATAGCCCACCCCTGACAAGGCTGCCGTGGGAACCCATCAGCTCACAAACAGTTGTGTGTTGCAACTTGTTGCTGAAGTAAAGTGTAAGGAAGCAGGGTATTTGGGACCTTGGTGAACAACATACAGCAGATAACAGGCTCTGATGAATAGCAGCAGCTTGGGGAATCAGAAGCCTGATACTGAGCAGTTAAGTGCACTTAATGAGCCACGAAATTGGGGCTGAGTTGAGAAAAAAGCCAAGGATAAGATGAACACCTGCGCTCATAGAAGCAGCGTAGGGAGCATAAAGAGGCTGCTGTTCTGTTCTTACCAACAGAGATATCCCACAGATTTCCATTGCATGGGAAGAGGTCGAATCTTTCAACAGAAAACCCCACTCCACCCCACTACTCCCCCACATCCCTAACGAATTAATTTGGGCTTGGATTAGTCGAGTGACATTACCACTAGGCCACTATCTCCCACTTGGCGGGTCTCTCAAGGTATCCCAACTTCTACGAAGGGCCCTAAAACCAAATGAAATATTAGGAGCTCCATCAGTGTCGACGAGGGACCGAATACCTATCTCAGGCAACCACTCTAGACATGTGAAAAATGACCTGACTCAATCTGAATAAAAACCCAAAAGAACTGCAATGTTGTAAATCAAGAACTAAAACACAAGTTCTGAGGAAGGGTCACTGGACCCGAAACGTTAACTGATTTTTCTCTGTTGCCAGACCTGCTGAGCTTTTCCAGCAACTTCTGTTTTTGTATCTCAATCTGAAGCCGGTTTCTTCACGCATTCTTGGAATGCAGACCTATAAAATTACAGTCTATACCCAGAGTGACAACAGCTTTTGCAAAGAGCTCTGACTGAATCCCTCGATTTGTCAAAACAGGGGAGGCAATGGCCTAGTGGTTTTATCATTAGACTCTAAGTCCAGAAACTCTGCCAATGTTCTAGTGACTAGGGTTCAAATCCCACCTTGGCAGATGGTGGAATTTGAAATCAAGTATAAAATCTGGAATTAAGAATCTACTGATGTCCATGAAACAGTCGTTGACTGTCAGAAAAATCCATTTGGTTTACTAACGTTTTTCAGGGAATAAAATCTGCAAATCTCACCTTGTCTGGCCTGTACGAGATTCTGGACTCACCAATGTGGCTGACTGTTAACTACCTTCTAGGCAATTAGGGATGGGCGATACATGTGGTTTGGTCAGCAATGCCCACATCCCACAAATGAATTAAAAAGTTATCATTTAATAACAATCGGTCCAATGAGATTAAAAGATAAAGACAGACAGACAGAAAAGATTGAAAGTGGTAAATTGAACTTGTCAAATCAGATACACAGAGAAGCAAAAAACAAAACAGCAAAATGAAAAAGGCAATAAAATAAACTAAGAACAAAAATTAAAATGACAGTTTTTAAAATTATAAGAACAATTTATAACCTATCCATAACTGCGACGAAGGTTGATTAGCTTTGTGTTATCTTAAAAAGAGGCCGCTGCACTGTTGATCATCAGCCTTAATTTTCTGTGGGGTGGTTAGTGGGCAATTAATGTCAAAATCCAGCAAGTTCTATAAATAATGATTAAGAGCATGATTTTGTTTCTGCAAAACAAACAGCTGAGGGACATAAATCAAGCACCAAGTTCTGGAGATTTGCAACTCTGGCTGAATGACTTGAATTCCACTCACTCCCTCCCTACTTCCCTCAATTTTCTGGCTAAATTTCACATCACCATCATACTTCATTAACACATCATTACTTTTCCAGCAAGATCTTGCCCGATATTACAAAAAAAATTTCCACTCGGTTAACTCTGCAAAACAAGATTAACTTTTGATGTTCAGCTCTCAACGTGAACAATGATGGCTACTCCTCTGATCAACTATGTGCAGAGTCTCAGTATTTAAAATTCAAAGGACTCAGTTCAACTAAACTTACACTGCCAGCTCCAAACACTACCTCACCTATTGGTTGGACAATCATAAAGCTATTACACTGCAATTGGTTGCAATGCACTTTGCCCCTGCTGCTCACATTTAATCTACACAAAAGCCCTCCATAACAGTGGGAGGTGGCAATGTCATGCCACTTCATTTATTCAAGTTTTCAACCGATCCACGGTTTCAATATCATTGCATCATCCATCACACAATCTTACATGGAGGCCTGATACAAAAATAGAAAGCACTGGGAGAAGCCCAGCAGGTCTGTCAAACTGAGAACCAGCTCTGAAGAGCAGCAGCATTGGACTCAGAATGTTAACTCTATTATTAACTCAGTATTTTGCTTCTCTAGGGAGCCAGATAGATCTTACCTTCAAGTATGTGCATCCTGACCAACTCTGCTCTCTCTGGACGTGAGCGGATCTTTCTTTTCAAATAGTCCTCAGTCTGCATTTTTAAAGAAAACGAAAAGGAGTATGTTGGGAATCCAGGAGGTTGAGAATATCTCAAAGCAGCACTCATTGTAGTGAGGATGGGAAACATTCGAGAGAATTTCACTCTTCCTAGTTACAATCACTTTTCAATTTATTTATTCAGATCAAGAGTCAGTTAGAAATTCAGGCCACAGCTGAGCATTACAACTCTCCATGGCCTGCAGGTAGGCCTACAGACTGAGAAAAAGCAATGAGCATTTCAAATTATTTCTTTACATTTTGAGCAGTCTCAGTTAAAACGTAGATCACAATGGAGCAGACTAAGAGAATCAAGCTAGTCTCAACTTTCAGCTTTCCATCCATCGGACTACAGGTTATCACCACAAATCCAAGTGGAAGCTGGGTCCAGAACTAAATTTCCAAAGTGTACTGTAGATTTATTTTTAATTCTAGAAAAGCGTGACCAGGGTTTTCTGATAACCTATATCACAAGTACATAGAACAGTACAGTACAGCACAGTACAGTACAGGCCCTTCGGCCCACGATGTTGTGCCAAACTTTTATCTTAATCCTAAGGTCTATCTAACCTCCACCCCTACCTTATACTATCATCCATATGCCTATCTAATAGCCGCTTAAATGACCCTAATAAGGCCGACTCCACTATCCTCTCCGGCAATGCATTTCACACCCCTACCACTCGAGTAGAGAACCCATCTCTGACGTCGCCCCTATATCTACTTCCACTCACTTTAAAACTATGCCCCCTCGTAATAGCTACCTCCACTCTAGGAAAAAGTCTCTGGCTGTTTACTCTATCTATACCTCTGATCATTTTGTACACCTCTATCAAGTCACCTCTCATCCTTTGTCGTTTTAAACAGAAAAAGCCCTAGGTCTCTCAACCTTTCCTCATAAGATCTTCCCTCCATTCCAGGCAACATCCTGGTAAGTCTCCTCTGCACCTTCTCCAACGCCTCCACATCTTTCCTGTAGTGAGGCGGCCAGAACTGGACACAATACTCCAGATGTGGCTGAACCAGTGTTTTGTATAGCTGGAACATAACTTCACGGCTCTTGAACTCAATCCCTCTATTAATGAAAGCTAATACACCATACGTTTTCTTAACAACTCTATCCACCTGGGTGGCAGCTTTCAGGGAACTGTGAACATGAACCCCAAGATCCCTCTGCTCCTCCACACCGCCAAGAATCTTTCCATTAACCCTGTATTCTGCTTTCAAATTTGTCCTTCCAAAATGAATCACATCACACTTTTCAGGGTTAAACTCCATCAGCCACTTCTCAGCCCAGCTCTGCATCCTATCAATATCCCTTTGTAACCTAGAACAGCCCTCCGCACTATCCACAACTCGACCCACTTTTGCATCGTCTGCCAACTTGCTAATCCACCCTTCCACTCCTTCATTCAAATCATTTACAAAAATCACAAATAAAAGAGGACCCAGGACAGATCCACTCGTAACTGAGCACCATGTTGAATATTTTCCGTCCACTACCACCCTTTGTCTTCTAAGGGTCAGCCAATTCTGAATCCAATCTGCCACATTTCCCCCTATCCCATGCCTCCTTAACTTCTGCATGAGCCTACAAGTGGGTGTCATGCATCTCGCTATAGTATAAAATGCAGAGCCTATGACTTTCCAATATGTAGCCTTGCTGGTAAGATGGGCATTGAGAATATCCTACCCAATGCCACTTCAGGGCCTGATTGGATTACACTTAAGCAAAAAAATTAATTTCCAGTCAAAAGCTTAAATATAATTTTATTGGAAAGAGAGGGAGTTTTTAAAATTTGAATGCACACGGTCATTACCACCTACTGCACAAAAATGTTTGATTTTTTTTTAAAAGATCTGTTGTGATTTCTTTTTAAGCGTTGGGGTGTTTTCCAACAATGACTTTTACAAGAGGTGGTCAACTCTGATATATATTTTCTCCCTTGTACAATTGTTCCTTTAAGTACAGAGGCAAAAAAATAAAACTCTCAGCAAGGCAAGAGCAACGTTTAGAAATCCATGTTAAAGCCACTTACCCGTGCCCTCTCCAAGCTTCTCCTCTGCTCATGAAATGCAGCAGGACTCTTCAGAGCTGTAACAATGAGAAAAGTCAAATTGTAGCAACAAGGTGCATTTAAAAAGGAGATATTCATAAATATAGATGTCCAAACATATTTCAAAGCAGCTGTCATACAAAATTCCACACACAGCCACGTCAGAAAATTGGACAAAAACTTGGCCAAAGGGATAGGTTTTAAGAAGCAGCTTAGAAAGAGAGAAATAAAACGACGAGGGGTTTATGGATACAACTTCAGAGCACGAAGCTGAGGCAGCTGGTATACACTAGATGAATGGAGAGCTAAAGGTAATCTCAAACGTACAACAGGTTAGAATTGGAGGGATGCAGTAAATGGGCTAAGGTGACTTAAACACTAGAACCAGAATTCTGAGGCACAGCTGGACTGGGAATCAATTCACACCAGTGAGAACAGGGAAAATGGAGAATGGTTCCTGATGTATATTAGGGGTAGATCAGCAGAGTTTTGGATGCAGCTCAATTTTAGAGTGGATGGAAAATGGGGAGACCAGCTGGAAAAGGAATGGAATGGTCTAGTACAAGGCTCTCAGCAGCAGATGAGCTGAGGCAATAATATGAAGGTGGAAGTAAGCGCTGGAAAATTCACCTCCATTAAACCAAGCTGTCCTCTGATCAAGTTTCTCATAATTCAATAAATCAGTTTAGATAAGTACATGAATAGGAAAGGTTTGAAGGGATATAGGCCAAACACAGGCAGGTGGGACTGGTTTAGTTTGGGAACATGGTTGGCATGGATTGGTTGGATCGAATGGTCTGTTTCTGTGCTGTACGACTCTATGACTAAGTGCTCCAATGCAGATTGGAGGTATTTAACAAGGCGGCTAATATGTTGTAAATAATGAATTTCAGCCAGCAAGCTTCATTATTCATACAAGCTGGTACCTCCATGTGTAAAAGTGAGGATTTACATGAGCTGTCATTCATGGAATGTCTGAATGAATTATAGTCAAAGCTTTTTTCCCTTTCACCAAGTGAATGGCTCATATTCCCAACACTTCCATTTCATTCATTAACGTCACGTTTAATCACAAACACTGGAAAGAAAGAAAGCTCACTGTGGAATCACAGCTTTTCCTTTTTCACATGTTGGAAAGCTTTAGCTAATGCTCATGGGGGACCTAGGTCAATTCACAGCCACGGGGTTGCCAGTTAGCTGGATGGGCTGCTGGAGATCAAACTGGTGCCAACAGTATAGGGTTCAATCAGTGCTATGGCTGGGGGGGGATTTAGGACCAGCCTTCTTTCCTGACTTGTGGTGGAGATCAAGGCTCTGAGGGCAGCCCTGCCTCTGAGTATACAGGCAGCAGAATAAGGATTCTGCATACAATGTGCACACTCCGGGATGCAACAACTTGATGGACTCTGGCCAAAGACATTGTGGGCCAAATGGTCTCTTCCTGTGCCCTATACTTTCTATGATTCTGTGCTGTTTCTAGGAGATCTTCATTCTGTTGGTAAGGTTTGAGATCATTTTTGAAGCAAGCAAGAGATGCATCAAAGGTGACAGGCTTTAGGATGGGAATGCGGCACTGAAGGGTCGAGCAGTGACAATGATGAGTGCAATGGGTGGTGGAAAAGAAGCAGAGTGGAGTCAAAAAGAGTGAATGAAGGAGGCAATGGCTAAAGAGGAATCTAAGGATGAAGATTTTGCAGCAGATACTTTGGGATGCAGCAAGTCGGTGAATGCTAATCAGGTCAGGCACAGAGTGGAACTTGCTCCAGGCTGCACCGATTGTAGAAGAGGTTTGAACAGTAGAGGTTGCACAGGGGGAAGGCTGTCATGATATAGGTGAAGGAATCAAGTTTAATGATTATGGTGCTAAATGACAGCTGTGGGCGAGGTACAGCTGGTTCCTTTGTAGGGCAATCTAGAATGATGGGTCGTAATTTCAGCCTAAGGAATGGCAGGTTTAAAACAGAGATGAAGACGAATGACTTCTCTCAAAAGGGTCATGAATCTGTGCAATTCAATAACCCTGGGAATCCCAGATACTGAATAAATTTAAAGTGAAGTTAGACATTTTTTTACTTAGTACTGGGTTAAACAGTTATGCAGAGTGGGTAGGAAAGTGAAGTTAGGTCAAAATGAGATCAGCCACAATTACAGCAAATGGCAGGGAAGACTCGAGAGCCTGAACTGCCTACTTAGAGCTCTTATATTATGTTGTCTTAAATCAAACTTTACAGAATGTTACTTCAGAATCCTGTAATTGATTACAAATGATGCCTTAAAAGAAGAAAAACCTGACAGTCAAGTATGTTCATAAATCCTCTCTTACTTAATTGTATTAAATCCCTTTTATACAGCTAGGGGTACGAATTGCAAACTAAGCTCAGCAGGGAGAAACATGAAGAGCAAGGACATAGTCTTTTTGACAAGGCAGGTGTCAAAAGAATGTAGAACTTATTCCACCTGCATCATCCACAGGAGGTTGAGAGAGAGGGGTATAGGTCCAAACTTGAGAGAGGGGAACAGCAAATGAAATGGATTTTAAAAGATACACCATGCAGTTTTGAACTCAGAGGCCACAATGGTTTAACACGATAAATGCCGATTCATCAAGTTGCAACTTGTTCAAAACTCAAATCAGGCACCTCATTTAAGTTAAGCTTGAAAATTTCCTGCCAAGCAACTTCAGAAAATCATGGATGGAACATTATTACAGACAGTGAGATGAGAGACTTGGCCTGATGCATGACCTTTGGTTTCCATTGCTCACATGAAAAAATACTGAAGCTTAAACCAAAAAGCTGCCATGTATCATCCACAGGTCAAGTGGTAGTATTCAGACTCTGAATCAGAATGTTGTTCTGCTTCCATTCTAATGACCCAAGCACAAAACCTTAGATGCTCACTCCAGTGTGGTACCGATAGGAATGCTGCACTGCCAGAGGTGCCATTTTTAAGAAGGGATGTCAAAACGAGGCCCTGTTCACCTTCAGGAAATAGGAAATATGAAATATCACAACGGAACTACTTCAAAAAAGTGCAGGGGAATTGGGGAATATCTCTGGCATCCTGGTCAATATTTATCCCCTAACTCAATACAATACATTCTGACCATTATCACATGGCTGTTTGTAGGAGTTTTCCAGGTTTCCCACATCACAACAGTGACTGCACTTCATGGCTGGCCAGCACTTTAGGGCATCTCTAGTCATTAAAAGTGCTACATAAATGCAAGTCTTTCTCTTCTTTCAAAATCACCACATTCTACAACTTGCTGATGTGCCACAGTCTGCTTCTCCTCAACCAGTTCATACTCATTGAAGTGACAGATCACGCCAAAAGGGATACAGGTAGTTGTCCGATAATGTGACAGTTGCGTTCTTGTGTGACCTGGTGCGAGAAAAAATTACCACAGAAAAATCGCTACAACTGTACAGCAGAAAGTTTGCATTATCCAAATAATGTCCACTATTCATCAATCGCATTACAACAAATTCACATTAACGTGTTATAACAACTACCTGTACAGAACATGCTGTCCTTCAGGAACCAAGCATGTACCAAGTGCCCCCAGAAATGCAATGCACACTTGGAGGATAGCTAATGTCACTCCAATATTCAAAATGGGAGGTAGAGATAAAACAAGGAATTACAGATCAGTAAGCCTAACATCGAGTCCATTATCAAGGACTTTATTGCAGAGCATTTAGAAAGCAGCAGCAGGATCAGACAGAGTTAGCATGGATTTATGAAGGGGAAATCGTACTTGACAAATCTGTTGGAATTCTATGAAGATGTATCCAGTAGAGTTGACAAGGGGGTGCCATATGAGATCCAAATATACCACTTTTAGACAGTGTTTGACAAAGGCCCGCATAGTGCAAGATTAAAGCGCATAGGATTGGGGAAAGTGTATAGAGATGGATAGAAAACTGGTTGGCAGAGAAGAAACAGTAGGAATTGACGGGTCCAAGTTTGGTGGGAGGGTGAACTGTGACGAGGATGCAGAGATCCTTCAGCATGATCGCAAAAGGTTGGGTGGGTGGGCAAATCAATGGCAGATGCAGTAAAATTTGGATAAATATGAGTTTATTCACTTTGGAAACAAAAACAACTACCTGAACGGCTGTAAACTGGGAGAGGGAAGTGTGCAGTGGGACCTGGGTGTCCTTGTGCACCAGTCACTGAAGATAAGCATGCAGGTGCAGCAGGTGGTAAAGGCGGCAAAATGATATTTTGGCCTTCATTGCAAAAAGATTAGAGTACAGGAGCAGGGATGTGTTGTTACAGTTGTGCAGGGCCTTGGCGAGGCCACATCTGGAATATTGTGCGCAGTTTTGGGCTCCTTTTCTGAGGAAGGATGTTCTTGCTCTCGAGGGAGTACAGTGCAGGTTTACCGGGCTGATTCGGAGGATGGCAGGGCTGACGTATGAGGAGAGATTGACGAGGTTAGGATTGTTTTCACTGGAGTTCAGGTAAATGGGGGTGCGGGGAATCTCAGACAAAAAATTCTAACAGGACTAGAGACAGGGTAGATGCAAGGAGGATGTTCCCAATGGTGGGTGTGTCCAGAACCAGGGGTCACAGCCTGGAGGATTCGGGGTAGACCATTTAGGACGGAGATGAGCAGACATTTCTTCACCCAAAAGGGTGGTAAGCCTGTGGAATTCATTACCACAGGAAGTAGTCGATGCCAAAACATTGGATGTATTCAAGAAAAGCAGCTAGATATAGCACTTGGGGCGAATGGGATCAAAGGTTATGGGTAAAAAGCAGGATTGAGGCTACTGAGTTGGACAATTAGCCATGAATTGGTGAGACGCCCTCAACCTGTGTTATTCACTTCCCTCCCCACCCACTCAATAAATCAGTCAGACTCAGAAGCAGGGAATATTGGAAACACTGCAACAAATCAACTGGTAAGGTAGCACTTGTGGACTACTACAGATGCAAGTTGTTGCTGACTTTAGGTGCCAATGCTTCTTTTGGGAACTAGGTAGTTCTGCTGGCAGGGGAAACAGCATGGTGCAAATATCTGGGACTC